GCAGCCCCAGGGGTGCATCTGCTGCTGCTGCCAGCTGCAGCTGCTCCTCTTCTTCCTGCTGCTGCTGCAGCGCCTCTGTCTCCTCCTGCTGCTGCTGCTCCTGCTGCTGCTGTTGCTGCTGCTGCTGCTGCTGCTGCTGCTGCTGCTGCTGCTGGTTTGTGCTGCTGTTAGAGTCAAGAGACAGCAAACTAAAGGGGGCCAGCACCAGCAACGAAAGCCAAGCGAAGAGGGAGAAGACACAGCTCCATAGCGGCGCGCTGTTCATACAAACTGCAGCAGCAGTTGCTTCTGCTGCTGCTGCTGCTGCTGCTGCTGCTGCTGCTTCTTGTGCAGCTCCTGCAAGGGGTTCGTCGCTACTCGGATGTTGCTCCGGCTGGACCTCCTCCTGCTGCTGCTCCTGCTGCTCTTGCTGCTGCTGCTGCTGCTGTTGCTGCTGCTGCTGCAGGGCATCTGCAGCAGCTAACACCTGCTCCAGCAGCTCCGGCTCCTGCGGCAGCAGCGAGCGAATGGCCTTGGTTCCCCTCACCTTGCAGTGTATGTACACCAGGTGCAGCAGCACACGAACGCAGCAGCAAGTAACCGCAGCTGCCCACCTGCAACGAACTAAATTGTCCCCCTGCTGCTGCTGCTGCTGCTCTTGCTGCTGCTGCTGCTGCTGCTGTGCTTGCTGCGTCAGCAGCAGCAGGTTGCTCCTGATAGGCTGCACTACTACTTCTAGCTGCTGAGGGAGATGGGGGTCCAGCAGCTGCGGCTGCTCCTGGTACCGCTCAAGTGTATAGACAACATCTGCAGCAATGCTGCAGAAGCATCGCAGCCACCTCTTTACATTGAATACTGTTAAAGGCTCCATATCTGCTGCTGCTGCTGCTGCTTCTGCTGCTGCTGCTGCTGCAGTCGGTGCCCCAGAACCACTACCCGGAAACGGGTTGCTTGACGCAGACACATGAGAAGCTGTTGCTGCTGCCCTTTCTGGCGCTGCTGCTGCTGCTGCTGCTGCTGGTGCTGCTGCTGCTGCTGGTTCTGCTCTCTTATATGTAGAGGGATCTTCAGCAGCAAGTGCTGCTGCCTCCTGCGTGAGACTGGATAGCAGCTGCAGCTGCTGCAGCACTTGTGCTGCTTCCTTGAAGAAGAAGGCTTCGCACCGTGCAGAGTCATCTTTGTTTGGTGCAGTTTCTGCTGCTTCTAGCTGCGATAGTTTTGTTGCAGCAGCAGCAGCATCAGCTGCTGCTGCTGCTGTATCAGCAGCAGCAGCTGATGCTGCTGCTGACCCTGGTGCTGCTGCTAGTGCAGTGAAGTCCTTCTGCCACTGCTGAA